AATGATGAGAAAACAACAGTGCAGCATGCAACCATGGCAATAGCAATAAAACTTGATAGACATAGGAGTATAACAAGCAAGCAATAACACTAAATCTAAGAGGTGGAACAGTAACTGTTATTTTGAAATAATGAGCAACTGATTATAATTATATTGAAATGTATAGAAAACAAGCAAGTAATAAGTGTTATTTGCAATACTGTAGAAAACAAGCAATCAATTATAGTTGAGCAACTTGAGCAAGCGATCATAGTTGTGAATTAGGAAGTGAATGGTTTTGTGATGTCATGTTTTACAGTATCCATATAGGATTCCCAGATAGCTAATTCTTGCTCCAACATATAACACATCAATATCATATTCATCAAATAGATTCAATGAAGTAGAAAAATGAAAAAGCACCAAGTTCAAGGTAAAAAATGAAAACAATCCAAACCCCTACAAACCATGTAAAATGCTTAAAACTCATATACAGTATTTTCAAATCTCAATATTCAGCTGGTAAATCTTATTATTAAATCAATCAAACTAAGATGTTTTTATTAGTCTGTTCATCTGTGAATGTTCATGATCCCAGCAGTGTATTCCCTTCAGTCAGATGCAATATCTGTGATAGACCAAGATGCCTAATGTTAGTTAACTTGTTCTTCAGATATCTCAGCAGCTTAACAGTGGCATATCTCTTTCAATATGTTATTTGCTATAATGAGCCTAACCTTTTTCTTTATGGGAACATGAAGCACTATTTTACCTCAATGTTTCAGTTTCAAGATAGTTCAGAGTTAGCGTAATGATTTGTTTGCAAAAGTGTTAAAAGTTTTCATATTATGTTTATCAGGTTTATCTATAACAAATATGTTAAAGCTAAACATGTAAAGCTTCACTGAAAAATATAGATAATTGGAACTTTTAGAATTATTAGAGTAAAATAACATATTTTCTTGTTTACAAGGTGCACAGGCTTGGTAAAAAGTAAATTATGATTTCTGTCACATTTAATCCTATTTTGTTATTCTAGATAATTTTGGCTTTGTTTATCCATGATGGGCCCTAGCTAGATTCTTAAAATAATTATAAATGAAATAGTTAATATTTTTACGTTTTTATCTGTATAGGTACTATTTTCACCTTTTTCATGAGAATACCATTAATTGCAGGCCACAAGCTCCTGTCTTGTTGTATTAGATACAAACATATAACACTGAGCCTTTTGAATGCTCATCATTTAAATGCATTGTGAGCGTCAAACTAAAAGATTTGAAAATGTTGTGGCAACCCTGAGTTGAGATGTTCTTGGCACTTCCAATATAACTTTTGAAGCAATTTAACATTAATGGGTACTTTAACATGTATATATTATGGTGCTGCCATCTATTTAGAGTAATCTGCCTTACTGAAAAACCATTTAAGAATGACCTTTTCTGAATCGGGCAAAATGATGGTCTCCCTAGGTGAATGAAAAATGAAGAGGTTTACATAAGAACCCAAATCAAATTCTCAAAACCTAAAAATAGCAAAGGTCAGAATGAAACTCTTGTAGAGTACAGAAGAGTACTCGGTGTATGTAGTCATTTGTCCAACATTTACCTACATGGACGACTTTGGCTCCCTGTCCTCTAATCCCTTTAAATGATAACAAAATGTATCAACTCATTGACACTGTGTAACAAGTCATATTCCAGAATGGTAACTGTTTAAGTTAAATGTGACTGCAAATGATATCTGTGTATACTGCAATATATATATGTATTATATTAAATTAGGTCAAACCCAAAACGATTTTATAGAATATCTCTACATTATGATTAATCAGGCCAAAAACCCCTACAAATGATATGAAATGTGTGATAGTACCTTGTAACAGGTAAACAAGCCAGCATTGTATTATCCTGCAATTATGTCTTTCTTCAAGTAGATTAAGAGTCTAAGAAACCCAGATATGTAAAAGTAACACTTCAAGTTGGGAGAGTTGAGAAGTAAACACTTGGGAAAATCAATCAAAACTTGTCTTGTTCTGTTTTGGAATCTTGATAGAGAACACTTCATTGGTCAGTTCCAGAGAGATATATGGATCCATCTTCACGTTCTCAGATTAAGTTTTCTATAAATATCATTATGATTAGATTGATGAGTTATTATTCATTTTCAATATTTGGTTGATTTTTTGGGAAACTGTTTCATTAGATTTCTGTTTTAATTGATGAAATAGCTGAAAAGCTGAACTTTACATTTTTATATCAAGTTTCAACAATAAATCCCAAAATATTTATTTGACATCAGAACCCTTCTTAGAGTTCTTTTTGAGATGGTTTCATAGACTGATGCTTTCAGCATAAGGCCTAAACATTATCATTGTAAAATACTTAACATATGTTGTAAGTTGTTAATTTGAAGATCATTTACTGAAAACCAGAGTATTATCTGACTGCTTCACATGCCTTTAGATTCTACTGGGGAAGGAAAATAAATATGTAAATGTTAAACCATGTAAGAGGAATTGTGGAATGTTGTGAGATTTTAAAAAGAATATTTTGTCTAATCATGGTTTCTACCCCATTTGAAACTCAATCCTGATTGGGTTTTTAAAAGTAAACATTTTCACTTGTCTACTTTAGGAGAATCAACATTTTTTATTTGGGTTTCAAAAAGCAAATGACATTTATTTGACTGTCTTGATCAATTATAATTCTCCCCAATTCTTCCTAATTCTCCCCTCTAACCGTATACAGTATTTCTCCAAGGGAACTAGACTCTGAACTGGATTCAATGCTAACTTTCGGGCTTCAGGGAATACACCTTGCTAGAATCATTGAAAGAAGAACAAAATATTTGTACATAGGTGTAGGCTAAAAATGTGTTTGCCAATGTTTGAAAAATGAGAATGAGACGTATTGAAAAATAATTCATATTTGTTTCTTTTACTTTCAGGGTGAAAAGGGTGCACGTGGTTACCCAGGGTTCCCGGTTCGTGACATCACAATACTAATGCCCTCTGCTGGGCTGAGCTTGAACTAAATCGCATCCATATACTTAAGTCAGACTAGCCATTTCGCATTAACCAACATAGTTATAGATTCTTCAGTGAATTTCCCTTTGATGTTTTTATGTTCTCCTTCCCTATGTTATTGATGTACGTCCTGTAGTATTTTGGAAGTTTTACTGTAATCTGATACAATTGATCTGGTACAATTGAACAATGAATCCAGGTATCATGGTTGAAACCAGATTGTATCATTGAAATAGGGATGTCATCATTGAAATAGAGATGTCATCATTGAAATAGGGGTGTCATTGAAAAGGGATGTCATCATTGAAATAGGAATGTCATTACTGAATTAGGGATATCATCATTGAAATAGGGATGTCATCATTGAAAAGTGATGTCATTATTGAAATAGGGATGTCATCATTGAAAATGGATGTAATCATTGAAATAGGGGTGTCATCATTGTAAAAGGGATGTCATCATTGAAAAGGATGAAATCATTGAAATAGGGACGTCATAATTGAAAAAGGATGAACTCATTGAAATAGGGATATCATCATTGAAAGAGGGATGTCATCATTGAAAAAGGATGTCATCATTGAAATAGGGATGTCATCATTGAAAAAGGAGTGTTCACTTTGAAGCCAGAATGTCTTCCAAACTAAAACACAAAAATTGTCAGTATCATCATTTGAATTGTTGTGTCATTATTAATCTTGGGTTGTTATCATTTAGCATTTCATCATTGAAACAACTTGACTATCATCGTCCAGTGTAAAACAATCACCTCATTATTTGGTTTTATAGAGTCCATTGGTAGTTGAATTTGCTGTCCATGTATGTGTGACTTTATATGTGTTAAGTAGGATATGATTGTTTGTAAATAATATTTCATAGTCAAGATGTATTTAGAACACATCCTTTACACCTCTCTATGTTCAGTCATGTCATATATACTTACCCTATAAACTGCAAAGAATGTACATGTGCTGTATCAATGTAAAACAGTTGATAACTCAACCATATTTATTAAATCATATCAGTAACAATTGTCTCAGTTTTTTTGTACCTAAGGTTGTATGATATTGCCACCAGGTGGCGGTGTGTCACATTTCTAGTCTGGGCATTTCAGACAAACTCCTAAAGGACTGATATGAATTTTTGGGGAATAATAGATAGTTTTCAGTACAATATTGTGCACCATGTGTCTAATTGCCATTCATGAAGTGCTATATTGCACAGATGTTGAGTTACTAATTGTTAAACAGCAAAATAAATGTTTATGTATTTTTGCATATTTGTATAGTTAAAGAATTGTAATGCCTTCCTTAACTAGAAACTATAAATGTATTGTGACATAGTGAAATGGATTAAGATGTGCAACATGGTTTAGTTGATGTAATATAACTGATATGAAGATAACATGGCTCCAAAGCAGTCCAGTTGAATCAATTCCTCACCTCATTTGATCCATTTATCACCAAACAGATTTTTGCTTAAAATCACTCTGGATGTTAAATCATGTTGTGCATTTTAGTCCATTATATTCTAAAATACGTTTAAAGTATTATTCATCGTGTTTGCATTGTCTTTAGATGAATAAAAAATGCATGGCAACCTTGACCCCAATTTCCCTTCTCAAATGACCTTGACCCCTTTAGAAAGAAGCATGTGTTGCTATCACCTATTTACACCCGCATGGCTATATTTACCTGTAAATGAATACAATCACAGGTAAGGCCTGCAATCATGTGTTAATCATTTACATTGATGATGATCATATTAAGTGATATTAAATCATGTTATTGTATATCATTTTATTTCATATATTATTATACACATGTTATGCTCATGCTAGTTCATGCTAGTTTATGTCTTTTCGTGTTAGTTAAATATTTGCTTTATATACATTGAAATATTATGAGAAATCACCAAGGGCAATATAAAAAGAAAGAAGTAGCACTTGAAATTAAAACTTGAATTTAGATATTTACCTAAACATTTTATGTTTCAGGGTCCTATTGGACTTGATGGGCAGAAAGGCGACCAGGTTTGTAGCAAGATAAAAATCTAGACAAAAACCCATTGAATAAATTCAGTTTATGCTATTCCGCTTCACTAATGCTTATATATAATTTATTGCATGTATTTATGTTATAATCCTCCCCATGATCATTTCAGGAGTGATGCCTTAATTTTTCTGCAATTTTATTCCTATTTTCAGGGAGCCCCTGGTATAAAAGGAGATACTGGAAAAACAGTAAGTGTTTTAACCCTTCAGTTTTTAAGTGTCATTATGCTGTTTGAAATGAAAAATTTAATTTCTAATTCAATTTCCATTTCCAAAATGATGTTTTATCTTTAAGATCTTTATCTTGGTGGAATATACTTCAGATGCCATTAGATTAGAGAGATGATTAGGTAAAAGAAGTTTTGGTTTAGTGATACTTTGATTAGTCTTCCAAAGTAAGACATTTTATAGAGGGGAGTTTGTCCTCCAAATAAGGCATATTGTGTTACATTAACAAGTAATATAGGAATTTACCTGATCCTTACCATTCAAAGTAGAAAGGGGAACAATCATTATGTCTGGGGATCTCACCTTTTGCAGGAAACTATTTTTGGCCTGAATATGATACAAAAGTAACTTAAGCTTGAATAAAACAATATATTTCCCACATTTTGGAAAATATTAAGACTTTGATGTAAGAGGGTCTATTACCAAGGGTCACCCCACCTAAGATCCAATGATATGCACCTACATATTAAAGTGGGAAATAATTTGCGATAGGTTAGAGTTTCTGCAATACAATATATGTTGACCAAATAGCTAAGGCATGGGAAAGATTTATATTTCAAAGATAGACAAGATATAGTGTTGGAAATTTTGCTCTTTGTCATAACATTTACACTGATACATTCTAAAATAAATTGCCTGTCCCTTGAAGTTAATATGACTTGTCTTTGGTGGAGATATTTCAAAGATCAAACATTTAAACGGCTGCAAGCAAAATGGCAGTATTTTTGGTGAATATCATTTTTAACAAAAATTTCTACTTCCATTTCTACCCCATTCTTGAGATAATTTCAAACTGAACAAATAGTATTATCAAATAATTTGATTTAAATGAAAGATTTTTAAGATATGAATCTAAATTTTCTTAAAAATGTCCTTTCTAGTAATCTTGATCAAACCTAATGAGAAAAGGTGAAAATTTAGTACTTTTTATGGGAATTTGAAGATATGCCATAAAACCTACTTTACATATTAAAGCTGTGTTTAAGATTAGATTATGTCACATAGAGAATATGATTTTGACTGAAATAAATGCTTTGGTGTATTTTTTCATTTATGGCTCAAATTACCTTATTTTTGTCTAAGAACAAACTGTTTTCAAGCCTTGTGTTGAATATGTCAAAACATAGCATCAGTTCCTATCAATACAATTCTCCATTTTGAAATGATCAACAGTTTTGACAAAGCTGTTGATTTTTCTAATTCTAGCAAGCAAGAGAGTTAAAATGTTTGAGAAGTTATTTAATTTTTTAATTTTTACCTGAATTTATCTTAAGGTAAAATGCCATTTCAGCAGAATTAGTGTTCCTGTGTTTAATAATATTCAAGTGTAACAATTTAGGTATAATATACTTTCATCAAAATGAATTTTGGGCAATAATTTTAAATTTCCACCTTGGTAAAATTATCGTGCACTTACATGTAGACGCATTTCTGATTGAAGATTACTTTTCATATTGCTTAGTAGTATTGGGATAGCAAAGTTATTTTATACCAAGAAATGGCAACCACATTTTGTAAGTAGAGATGTATTATCAATGTAGCACAGGGAGCAACAGTAAACAATATTGGGAATATCAAAGATTAACTGAAATTCTTTACTAACTTTAAACTTTACCATGCCAAAACACCTGGTTTCCGGTAGCAACCATCGGTATGAATTTTCAACAACCAAATTCAAGGTTATATTCTTGTCATACTGTATGTAATGCACATGTACATCTTCATGTGTGCTTGTATCTTCCATTCCCTAGATTTTCCATACCAGAGATCCCAGCCTTTGTATAAAGATATTAGCATCCTCCAAATGCAGAGCTTTAGACATCATCCCCTGTGAATGAAGAAACACAGTGGGTGATCTCTGGAGCTCTTGGTTCAAAAGATTAGGTTTTTAGTATTCTATAATAATATCTCATTTTGCCAATAACCATATTAACCCAATCACAAAAGGAAGTAGGTACAATTGCATATTGTTTTGTACAGCCATGCATTTCCATGAAATCAACGCTCAATGCAGCAAATTGATGCCTAATATGTACGCACTACTCCACGTTGTCACATATTTAATGTTTTATTTTCTCCTTATTAACCACATTCAAACATAAATGTAGATTTAAACAAAAACACAAACGCAAATACTTTAAATGGAGTCAAATTCAATAAGAATATGGAGGTAAGGTTTGGACTTTAGTTCTTGAAGAATAAAATTTCTCTATAAAATCAGTTTAATTTACAGTTTTAAACTGAAGTGATTTGAAAAATTATCCAGCCTCATCCTGATATGTGTATCATCTCTCTGTGTTGCGTGAAATACAGAGATGATGAAGGAGTAGCTTACCACTATGGTCCAGCATATTCATGTTGAATCCTTATATAGACTGCATTACTACTTCAGTTTATTCTTACAGGGACGTATAGGAGAGAAGGGAAGTAAAGGTGACCCAGGCCTGCCAGGATTTGATGGTGTGCCAGGACCAAAGGTAAGACCTGACCTCATCTAGGAGTTTTAGATAATCAAAAGTCAATGCTGAGTAGATCACTGACTCTATTTGATAAACACAGTAAACCATTATTCTTGATCTTGTCTTGGTCATCTTTGCTCGGGTAGGGAGACTGGGTTGGCTTCCCATACATTGGTTTCCCTATATTTTCCTAAGACCTCATATGTATTTCATATGCACAAAATTGGCCATTCAGACACATATAGCATGTTTCCTAGTCATAATACTACAATAATTCTACCAATCATACTCCAAAAGAATTTCATATATCAATATTGGAAAGATGCATGGGGATACCAAGCTTCACAAGGATACTGAGGATTACATACAAAACAATTTTATTAATCAAAGAATTTGGTTTGGTGTCTTTCAAAGTGAGAATTTTACCCAGCATTAGACTTGTAATATTATATTCCAATAAGAGTTCTAGACAATGTTAATAACAAAGTATGAGAGTTCTAGACAATATTAATAACAAGTTTGCACTCTGTATGTAATTTTTTTCACTTTCTCTATATCTGTTTTATGTATTTTTGTAGCTTTATGTCGATATTTATTAGTTTTAGTTTTGTAAAATATATTATTCTTATGCACACATGTAGTTTCTAAATAAGTGATCATTCCCCTTGTTGCACCTTTGTTGAATAACCTTAAAATACCATGCTGGACTCAGAAATAATGTGCTCTAAATTATTCAATAACACATCAATTATAGCCATTACGATCAGATACTGTAGTAGTTGTAACAGTAAAAGCACTATGAATCTACAAATTAAATTGCATTTTGTATATATGAAGAATAATCTTGTTTGAATTGTCATCCTGTTGCCACATATCTGGAGTAGAATGCCTTTCCAATGCGCTGTACAATTACTTGGGGGTGGGGGGGGGGGTAGGAGGGTGAGGGTGTCTTGAACAAACATGGTATTTTAGGGTTCAATAGTACTTTGTATTATTTCCAGACCTGAAGCACCAATATTATGTTTATTTCTGTTGTTATCTCTTGTGTGATATTTTTCAGATCTTTCAGTTACCCTCAGACAGTCTTCTAACCCAAATTAAAAAGCATTTAATAATTATAGGATATCCTATGATTTTGAGGAATATCATTTTTATCTACGAGGTGATATTGATATCTGCACGAGAGAGCGAAGCGAACGAGTGCATATATCAATATCACCGAGTAGATTAAAATGATATTCTGAAAAAAATCATAGGATGTTCTTATTATCCTACACTTGCAAGGAGTGTACTAAATGTATAATATCATTGCAAAATGAATACCATACCAAATAGAGTCAATTTGGCGGGAAATCAACAAGCGGAGTATATCGTCACAATATCCTCCGCATATTGGGTTTTCCGGAGTATATCGTCACGATATCCTCCGCCCGGAGTATATCGTAACGATATCCTCCGGATATTCATTTTGCCAATAAATATCAAATTTATTTTTTAATGTTATTATACATTTAGTACACTAAGTGTAGGATAATTACCCATATTATGATGAGCAAATCTGAAAACATATTAGTGTTTAAAAATAGCTATAAAGTTTAAGTTATATAAATATTATTGACACGTTCGGCCAAACGGTTGGAGGGTAAAAGGACAAATTCCAAAACATAATAATAACTCATCTAATGTAAACACATTCAGTTCCATTTATATGCATCCCATTGAATTACATATTCTACAATAACCTCTTGAATTTTTTCTAAAATTCCGGTTGTGATGAAAATAATTTGGAAATCAGTGAATTTTTCAGGGCCAATATTAATATCAATGTTTTATTGTTGGCTTGTAATCATCATCACTTTAAAGTTTGACATTTATTTTTATTTAGTAATTTGTATCTAGTATTGTCCCCATTTTGCTTCTTGTATTTAAAACTGTTTAGGTGCCTGTACTTATTGTCAGTTGTTTGTTTGTTTATAGGTTCTTGCTTGTTCTTTGATTGCAGAATTATGATTACTATGACCAGTATAATGGTTATAATAAATACTATCCATCTTACCGCAAACCACAAATCACAATGCGAGCACGTATCGGCAACAATCTTTTGGTATGATGCAACAGTATCACCTTTATTATGACATCACAATGTTCAGCTTTTATTGTTGACAGTCTCCCTTGTTTAGCTCAAACCGTGCTCCAGCTTATTATATAATCATACATAAAGTGATCATCCTAATATGAATCTTCACAGTTGATTGATAAGATTTTAACTTGACAATTGCAATGTTGCAGATCCAATTGGATGTCTTGTCAAGCAGCACTCTTTATATGGCAACCTTTTTAAAACAGAATTGTTATCATTCCATTGGTGTTGAATTTACATGATCAGCATTTTTGTATTACGTGCATTTATTTAAGAAATATTCACAAAATCACTCTTGCACATTTTGAGTAATCTTTTAAAACTATAAAATGTACCATAAAGAGTGGCACGCAGGAAACTATGTAATGACTATGGGAGACTGTTCCATTTTGCTTTTCTCCAATTGCAATCTTAACTCTGTTAAGCGATAACTCTTATGTTATTTAAAGATGTCACCACTGGCACTGATTCGTGGCTGTACTTCCACTGCACATATAATTGTACATACTTTTGCAGACTCACCATTCACTGATCCAGTTGATGCAGATTCTAAAGCTTTCCCCCAGTTATATAATTTTTTAAGGTGCAACCTTTGCGTGATTGAAAACAATTAAATTCTTGTAAGCCTTCACTGGGAATGTTGAGCTGTAATTAAACTGAGTGGTAGCTTAAACCTAAGATGTATATACATACTTAAGTATGTTATTCTCAGCTTCAATAATATATCCTTCTAATTGAATAACCAAATATTAAGTTGTAGATTTGTCCCAAACAATATCACCATTTTATTTTTAATGTACAAATTACCTTGTTATGAACTATATTTTAATGATTTGTTTCTTTATGTATTCTAATGTATCAGATGCCTGTACCCTATGTGTGTGCAAGATATATACCATGTACCCCAGTGTGAACTATAACCATCTTGCACCAAGACCTTCGATGACAACTGCAAGATTGACGCATCCATCATGGAGCAAGTACATAGACCAGTGAAGTTGTGGTGTCCATGCCATCATCGATATCAATTGCTCTCATAATGATTTGAAATGGACCAATAAGCCAATCAGATCGACGAACGAAATACATGTATTACATAGTAAAACCTGTCGTAGTACTTTTGTTAATACCTTTTAAAGTCGACAAGGTCTTTCTGCAAAACTATTTACCTACAATATCTTACTCATGGGATGTGTATCATATCTTGGTCCCAGACATATGTTGCTTGGCACCCATCACTGTTATACTAACCCCTTTGTCCTGATATTTACAGGGGGTTAAACGATCAATTCGATTGGACGATGGCTCGAATTTGGGTTTTGCTGAAGTCATAACATTAAATATGAAGGTACTACAATGCATGACAAGCCCAGTGATTTCTAATTTTTTAATGAGTCTCATTTTGATTTGATTTAATATAAACTTGGAAAAGTATTAATTTTCTTGACTTTTCTTGAAGGTTATATTTCTTTTAATTTTAGAAGTAGTTGTAGTTTAGTGATTGATTTTGAACATTTCCATGCCTTATTCCAAGTTGATGTGCCAAAGTTGTTCAATTTATTCAAGCTGTTCATTTTGTGTAAGTGTCTATCATATGAAAATACCACACCTCATCCTCAACCAGCTATCTTGTTTGTGAGTAGAAAGTATTCTTATGTTTGCCCAGTGTGTTTTCAATACATACTAAATGTTTAAAGAGAAGGTGATAAATGTTCATTGTTGATGAAGTGGAAATTTGTCATCCCACCAAACAAAGTTTGTAGAGATGTAAAGAAGTCATCCATCTATCTCCCATCTGTTTGGATGATAAACTTTTAAACTGGTTGTCAGATTTGGTGTAAATGCTAAAGGTTGCATGATGGCTTTTGGGCAGAACCTTTGCTCAAAGGAATGAATATCCAGTATATCCGCTCAATTCAAAATGGCTGCCATTTACATAGAAAATGTAATCTTTGCTCATGAATCTAAGGCCAAAATGCCCTAATACGTCACTTCCGCTGAATAGAAAAAAGTAGTATTCAAAAATAAATGTAGTCCCAACACAATTGTGATCATGACGAGTCAGTAAGCTAGTATGTAGGCACAGTTGTAATCTTTTTGCAACGGCAACATGCCATTTCTTCTGAAAATGCGTTTATTTGGGTTATCTGAAGGAAAATTTCGAGTCAAGTGGCGTATTAATTTTGCCTTCATTTTTGTGAATTTCAATTTGTGTCTGCAGAGAGAGGGGGTAGTGTCACAATTGACCAATTATTTCAAAAAGTAGATGATTGGCCCCTATTGAGTTTAGTGTCAAGATGTAGCTTAGACATAGCTTTAGAACCTCAGATAGGCCAGTGAGGCCACATAAATCCATAACTCGAGATAAAAAGTCAGGCGTTTGCCCTTTTGCCCATTGACTAGTATGGTGACGTGAATTAGGGCAGTTTTGCCTATTAGTCACATGTGAAAGTGACCAAAATTTTTAAAAACTACTCAGAATCGCCCAGAATTTAAGTTTATTAGTGTGAAACATATTTTGGACGGAGGCAAAAAGGGGAATTTTCATGAACAAATTTAATGTTTTTGCTGAATCAGCAGTTTTCGCTTTTTACCCCCCAAACCACTGATTTTGACGATATTTGGCTACAATTTTGTCCTTAGTGACCCCTAAATGTCATTTGTTGTCGTAAATGGGGAAGCCAAGGAGTTGCTATTCATCATAAAGATTGAATTTTCCATCTTATGGTTTCCAGTATAGAAAGAAGGTACATATCGGGGGTGCAGTCAGAAATTGGTGAGTTAAGTGTCAATTTTTGATGTATTTGTCACTCTGAATGACTACATTCGAGCTAAAAAATATCTCAAAAGTCCCAATTCTCTAGGCCAGAGTCAAAACTGATCAAATTTGTCATCATTTTTCAAATCAGGAGGTTGTTGAATGGAATAATGTATGAAAAAGTGATGATTTTAGTAAGATTTTGCCAAAAAGTCGGCCAAATCTGTCCAATTTTCTGGTTCACGGTTCAGTGATTTTGGCTAAAAATCGCAATATGCAATAAAATACTCAATTTCTTGACATGATACTGAAAAATGTCACCATCAGGCAGTGGATTTCATGATGTAAATGAAAAACTAGTCAAATTTAAAGGAAAACCATTGGGTTCTTGGAAAAATGACCCCAGGGGTAATGAAGTAGCCATATTTTTCATAATTGCTGTCAGAATATTCTTAAACTGCACAAAACTACTTGAAAAACTCTAGTAAATTGGAAAAACGCAATTTAAAGCCAGAAATCATCCAACCATGTGGCTATTAGGCCAAAATGCCCTAATACGTCACTTCCGCTGAATAGAAAAAAGTAGTATTCAAAAATAAATGTAGTCCCAACACAATTGTGATCATGACGAGTCAGTAAGCTAGTATGTAGGCACAGTTGTAATCTTTTTGCAACGGCAACATGCCATTTCTTCTGAAAATGCGTTTATTTGGGTTATCTGAAGGAAAATTTCGAGTCAAGTGGCGTATTAATTTTGCCTTCATTTTTGTGAATTTCAATTTGTGTCTGCAGAGAGAGGGGGTAGTGTCACAATTGACCAATTATTTCAAAAAGTAGATGATTGGCCCCTATTGAGTTTAGTGTCAAGATGTAGCTTAGACATAGCTTTAGAACCTCAGATAGGCCAGTGAGGCCACATAAATCCATAACTCGAGATAAAAAGTCAGGCGTTTGCCCTTTTGCCCATTGACTAGTATGGTGACGTGAATTAGGGCAGTTTTGCCTAAGCTCATGAAGAAATTGTCAAGATGGTCGCTGAATTCAAAATGGCCTTTTTTACTAGAAGAGCACCAATGCACTATAATTCTTTATATCACACTTTTGAACCAATCAATTTTATTGAAGCATCAGCCATCTTCGTTTGCAATGCAACATCATCGGTTGTGGTCCAAAAATTGTCACCCAATTTTTATTTTTGATAACTTTAGTACTTAAATTATTTATTTATTTGCCTAAATTGTATAGGCTGATGTCTCAAGGGAATATGCCATCTCTTTAACATATGGCTTCTCAATTAAAAATAACCACCACTTTTTTCCAGATGACAGATTTTATTCAAATTTTATATGTCCTGATGCCTCAGAAAAGGACCTCCTTTTGCTTGAGAATAAATTTCCAAGATGGTTGCTAAATTCAAAATGGCTGCTAATCTTCATGAAAAAATATAATTTAAATGGATTTGGTCCTTTTATAGGCTAATAACTTATGGGGAATAGAACCTCTGCTCAAAAAGGAATTTCTAAGATGGATGCTGAATTCAAAATAGCCTCCACTTTATTTGTATAAAATATAAGTGAAATACCAGATTTCAGAATTTGTAATATGGTATCATGTCATGGGCATAGAGTTTGCCAAAAGGAGACAATTCCCCTACCTGGTTATTTCTATCATATAAATTGTATTGTTCAAAATGATGAGTGATTTAATAAAATATATCTTGTTTGGTGGGATTGACTTCTCCGGGAAGTTGCTATATTTCTAGTTTAGTTATGAAGGTTACATACATGTATAGTGGGCACTGATTTAATGCTGTGACAATATACAATTTCAGGGAACTGCTTATGAAGTTATCAGAATCAAGGTTAGTTGAATAAGAATAGGCATGATTGTTGAAATTACATACAAAATGGCATGGTTCCTTCAGTCAGTTTATGTCTACATGATAAGCATGGCTTAGAGATACATTCTCCAAAATAAGCATGTTTTATTTGCCGTTTATAGAAAATATTGGAGACATCATTAATATTGAATTAACCATGGGGTTAAAATCCCATGAATTAAATGAAGGATTAGCATGGTTGGTTGAATTAATCGAAGAATGAGTAGTATAGTTAAAATTACTCAATGATATATGCATGGTTTAATGGACTAATAAAATATTTAGCATGGTTAATGAAATAGGTGAGAGAATTGTCTTCAAATTCTTTGAAACAGGCTGTGATTATCCCTGAACATGTCATATAAGGGGAAGGAGCCTGCCATAAGCATGTATATTGGATTTTAAATGGCTCTGCTGTATGATTTAATGTCACATTGTTTGTGACTAGGAAAAAACAATGAGAATATTAGGTCCAGGTGCTTCCAGATTGGCTTTTAAATGCATGTTAAATCCTGATGTCCTTCTCAAGTCCATTCTTTAGACGACTGACTGTCCAGCTTAGCCATGGCAGGATTACCAGATACAGTCTTATGGATTTGCCTACATATTTTCCATAAAACCATCTCTCTTGCACGATGAGCACTAAGTGAATACTTACCCTTCAAGATAATACAGGGACACATACTCATCTGAGGTGTTCTTTCAAACACCACAAAGTTGCACTAACATAAGTATCCTGCTGCATGTTTACAGATGACAGAATTCAAACAGCAATTGCAGTTAGAGTAGACATGTGTTATTTATGCATGTTAAACCATTCCTTCAAGTTTGTGCATGACTAATGTTTAGCCCTTGCATGTTGCATGTTTCAGGGTGAAAGGGGCCCAACAGGAATACCAGGAACTTTACCTGGGAATGAGAATGACTGGATACAAAAAGTGCAGGAAATTAGGGTGAGATACAATAAAACATGTACAATACATGTAAACACAGTAAATAAAGGAGAATAATGGAACAGTTCCATTTATTGTTCCACTGATTTCTCATACAGCACAGAATCAGTTATTGAAATTATATTTATTCACAATAATTTTATTTATTTATTGTAAAATCAATCTTGTTTATATTGTATGCTTTTACAAAAGTACAAAACATTGTTTCAAGTCATATACTTTATAGTACTAAACAAATTTTTTAAAAAGGCCTTAGTTAAGCTTTAATTTTAAGAACCCCTTTCAAAAATGGATTCTAGCCATACTATCCAAAGGAATCTAGTTGATGAGATTCGACCAATTTGAGTTCTTCTGAGAAAATGAGGATTTCAGCAAGGGTGCATTGACTTTACATGGTGACATACCTGATGGTATCCCCATGCTAAGTCAATGGTCAATGGTGTATGTCCCCATTTTGAGTCTATGCACCCTTGCTAAAATCCTCATTTTCTCAGAACTCAAGTTGATCGAGTCTCAACAAGAAGATTCATGGTCTGGTGGATAGTATTGCTAGAATCCATTTTCAAAAGTAAGAATAGGGGTTCTTAAACAGGACATTGGGCTTGCTTTGGGGAACTTTTTGTTGGTACTAATATATATATATCACTGTTTGACAACATGTTTAATCCAATCCTATATAAATCCTTTATTGCAGGGAGACCCAGGACCTCCTGGTCGTGCTGGTCCCCCAGGTCCTCCAGGTGGTGCAGGTCTGCCAGGCTATGATGGAGCAGCAGGACCTCCTGGTGAAACAGTAAGTCATTTGAGAGAACATGAGCTTGTTGTACTTGTAAATACACTAAATTATCCCAACGAACGAAGTTCGGTAGGGATATAGTGTAGCCCCCCGTCCGTCAGTCAGTCCGTCCGTCCGTCCGTCCGTCCGTCCGTCCGTCCGTCCGTCCGTCTGTATAATCTACCTATATGATGTAGATATCCAAATGTTGGTCTGAATTTATCTTTGTGGAAAGATTGTATGCTTCAGTTGCTCTTTAACAAAACATGTGGGACAGTGTATCTATATATTACAAGATGTCCGTCCGGAAGATAACTCGAATACTAGTAGACTTCATATTTAGTGGAAAGATGTATATTGGTGAATAGTTTTACGCAAAAAAAATTTTTTCAAGATGGCCGCCGCTTTAAAAATGACGGGACTTTTTCGCAAAAATCATAAATTTTTCATTCTAAACCAAAGTAATTAATATTATTGTTTGAAATTTTGGTAGTATATTCACAAAATTTATCTATTTCACATATATTCCGTGTTTTTCATCCTGACCCCCAGGGGCCGTGTATGGGGGGTCAGGAAAACAGAAATTTTTGCTAATTTTTAGATCTTTCTGAAGTATAGCTTTATTATACTCAAATGAAAGGCAATTAAGAGTAGATTACAAATATTGTATCTTTTTTCTGATTCGAGCCTCGTAAAATTCAAAATGGCCGTCTTATGTACGATTTCGCAATAATTTTTCGATCCCTTCAAAGTATGGCTATATTATACTCAAATTGAAGGATTTTCGGAGTAGATCACAATTATGCTATTATTTTTCAGATTTGTACCTCAGAAAATTCAAGATGGCTGCTTTGCAGGAATTCGCAATTCTAAAATCTAATTTTTTCCAATTTTAACCAAAGTAATGAGTATAATTGATTGGAATTCGGTAATTGATATTTTGTTCGTTGGGATTTGCTACTCCGCGGAGTTGCCGTTATCTAGTTCAGAATCAAACTGCACTTTTTCAATGACAACCCATTCTGATATTATATGTTTTTGCTCAAGGACCATACACAGAATGAGCATTCATTCAATACTTGTGTTAACATTTACACTGTATTATACCTTTTCATTGCAGGGTCCAATTGGTCCACCAGGACAAACGGTAACTACTACATCAAGACTTTCTTTACTTAAATGCTTTAATTCTTCATTCCTAAGTAGTCTTTTGTAAACTTCAATAAGTGGCATTTGCAATAAAATAGAAATACAAGATGTCTTAGGCCTGTAACTCTACTACCATCTTATTTTATTTAAACAATTTTGCTCCCTATTGGAGAGCAATATGTATTGTTAATTTGCCAGTTAATTCATTGCCTTTCATTTCAGGGAAAACCAGGGAAACCAGGAATTCAAGGACCACCCGTAAGTATAGATTTATTTATGAAGAATAAGATTTAGATAGTGGTTATAAAGTGAGCGTGGTTGATGATTTGAATTCATTATTATCATTAATATAATGATCATTTGCTCACTGACAAATATGCAAGCAGTGTTAAAATGAATGTGATACCAGCACTCATGATTTACTGTTTTCATGAATGATATAAATGCACTCATACACAATTGACATAGAATTACATTATTTCAGTAATACCTTTGTAGAGTGACCATCTTTATTGTTGGAAAAGGTAATACTATAAGGTAGACCTCCAATCATGTTACTTTTGTATTAACATTGGCTTTACTTTATCATTTGTTCACATCCATATGAATATAGGGTAGAGATGGTTACAATGGTTTAGATGGATACCCTGGTAAACCAGGCCAGAAGGGGGACAAAGGGGAGACAGGTAAAATTGGTCCTATGGGAGACCATGGCAAACCTGGGCTCCCTGGAATGAAAGGAAATCTAGGACGACATGGTATGGATGGAATTAAAGGTGAAACAGGAAGAGACGGAATGAAAGGAGAACCAGGATTAGATGGTAACCAGATTACAGGCATCAAGGGTGAGAAGGGAAGTCCTGGATTGTGTGATCAACCTTGCATTGATGGCCTCCCAGGGGTAGATGGAAATGATGGACAAGACGGTCAGCCAGGTGTAAAGGGAGAACAAGGACGAGATGGTTTACCAGGAGAAATGGGTCCTAAAGGAGACAGAGGAATAAATGGTTTACCTGGGGTTTTGGGTCCTAAAGGAGACAGGGGCCCTAAGGGTGAACAAGGCTTTGAAGGTGCCCCTGGTTTAGATGGACTAAATGGTGTAAAAGGCAGTATGGGAACATGTGATAGTGTATGTAAAGATGGGCGTAATGGAGAACCTGGTAGAGATGGAGAGAAAGGAGAACCAGGGCTGGATGGTTTAGATGGACAGAAGGGCAGTAAAGGAGAGATGGGATACAGTGGAAGTCCAGGATTTGCAGGAATTAAAGTGAGCTTGTGTTTTGTAGGTCATTGTCGCATGATGGCTGTGACTTTGAGCATGGTATTGACATCAGCAGCATGGTATTGACATCGGCAGCATGGTGTATCAACATCTGGAGCATGCTAATGACATTGATGTCATGGTTGCTACTCAGCATGGATCAAACCACAGTATTAATTGATCAATATGTTCTTGTTTCAGTCTCATGCATGGCACTACGTATATCTTCAGTCTAGTCTGGTATTTTTCTAGGATTGCACAAAGCCTCTTTATGGCCTCACTTAACCTTCACCTTTCTGCCTGCATCTGTCATTTCAGCACATAGTTCAACTTTTAGTATACTCTTGTAGTATTGAGACATCAGCACTTTTACCTCCTTGATGATCTCATCATGTTTGTTCATTTATTCAGCACTTAAACATTCTTTATGTGATCTTTGCAAACACATTCTTTTTGTGATCTTTGCAAACACATTCTTTATGTGATCTTGGCAAACACATTCTTTATGTGATCTTGGCACTCTGTGTATATATTTCTCTGCTGCATCTCTCTACACTTGTATTTCAGCACTCTGCATTTTGCCAATGCACTTTGCATCTCCTCTGTGTTTTATCTCACTACATGTACTTTGCATATTTGCTCTTGTTTTGTAACTATATCCTTAGATTTGTATCTTGATACACCTGTCTTGTTGTTTGACACTTATAGAAATGTATTTTTCTTGAATGACACTTGTGGAAATGTGCATTTTTCGAATTCCACTTGTGGAAATGTGCATTCTGTGTGGAAGATTGTAGCTGCATTCTGTACATATAGTGAACACCTGTTTAAGTTGAACACCTTGCAACAAAAATATCCAGAATGTGTATTCAAAAGAAAACTATTTACATGTTAGCCATGGAAAATATTTGCAGCTGTGTTAAACTTAAAGGTTTTTACTTCACACGCTTGTACAAATAATTCTCTGACTTTACATATGATATGATTATATGTTTTATTGCAGATCCACTTGTATGCAAGATTCATAGTCCCCTCAATGAGAACATCACTATGGAGAGTTGTTAGTCAAACCATTCAGTTCATCACATATCCTCTTGTAGTATTATGGTAGTGGCCTGAAGATCTGATCTTGCATTTACCTTGTGGTACTATGTCATTTGGATTAAGTAGTGACCTAACATGATGTTTACAAGTTTAAAGTTCTTACGTGGTATCAGGTCTTATTCTCTATATTGTCTCAAACCATTCTTAATTTCTGTGGTAGTTCTTTTTATGTCCCCACCACATAGTGTGGGGCCATATTGTCGGCCTAGGCGCGTCCGTCTGTCCGTCTGTCTGTCCGTACGTCCGGCAGTTTTCTCCAAAACCGCTACAGATATCACCTTCAAATTTTCAGGGATAACTTATGAGTGCATACAGATGTGGATGAAAAAAAATTAACTCGATACCTACTTCCTGTCGGCCATTTTGAAGTCGAATGCTAAAATCCTTGTCTGCAAACTTTAAGAAAAACTGCTTCACAGTTGCTTTTAAAACTTTAACATCTTGTTCAGCTCACTTCATTCTAGATCTGATTAGGTTTTGGACCTGCTAGCTCAGTCATGTCAGCCATTTTGAATGTCTTAAGAAAAGTTAGCGCGCGATAATACTTTGTATCATATTGAATGGTGTTTTTGAGTTTTCATACTTTAACTATTTAGTAGCTTTATAAATAATTTCAGATGTACTTTGCTGTAAAAGCCTACTTTATTGTTAACAGTAGTTATATGTGATAATTTTGTAAAAAGAAATCAGCAAAAACTCATAAGGACTTTTTTATTGTCGGCCATTTTGGATTTTTCGGTCCTAAAATCTTGTCTGTGAAGTCTTGTCTGCGCGTTTTCAGGTGAACCGTTTGGTGGATCAATTTCAAATTTTCAGGGATGATTCTTAGTATAAAAATCTAGATCTCATTAGTTTTTTGGCATTCTGGGTAAATGTCAAGGCAGCCATTTTGGATTTTCCGTCCTAAAATCTTGTCTGTAAAGTCTTGTCTACTCGTTTTCAGGTGAACTGTTTCGTAGATCAATTTCAAATTTTCAGGAATGATTCTTAGTATGAAAATCTAGAACTGATTAGTTTTTTTGCATTCTGGGTAAATGTCAAGGCAGCCATTTTGGATTTTCCGTCTTAAAATCTTGCCTGTAAAGTCTTGTAAAGTTTGATAGATCAATTTCAAATTTTCAGGGATGATTCTTTGTATGAAAATCTACATCTGATTACTTTTTTTGCATTCTGCGTAAATGTTAAGGCAGCCATTTTGGATTTTCTATCCTAAAATCTTGTCTGTAAAGTCTTGTCTACCCGTTTTCAGGTGAACCGTTTGGTAGATCAATTTCATATTTTCAGGGATGATTCTTAGTATGAAAATCTACAAACAGATTAGTTTTTTGACATTCTTGGTAAATGTCAAGGCAGCCATTTTGGATTTTCCATCCTGAAATCTTGTCTGTAAAGTCTTGTTTACATGTTTTCTGGTTAACTGTGTGACGGATCAATTTCAAATTTTCAGGGGTGGTTCTTAGTATGAAAATCTAGAACTGACTAAATTTTTATCATTCTGGGTAAATTTTAAGGTGGCCACTTTGGATTTTCCGTCCTCAAATTGTGTTGGTAAAGTCTTGTCTACTCATTTTCAGGATAACCATTTCACGGGATCACCACTTGGTGGGGACATTTTGTACACATTTGTGTTCTTGTATATATATATAGATTTCTTGATAATTCTACAATTCTGTTTATTCTATTTCTTGTTGATTCTACTCTTTCCCACTCTATTTTGTATTTCAATGGTTGTCATGGCATTTCACTATGTATCTATATTTCAATAAACTTGACTTGGTCAAATTATCCTTTCAGTATACTTGAACTATTTATCAACTTCGGCATCTGCCACCTATTCATTTGGGTTCACTTTTCTTCTACTAATCTTTTCTGTATTTAGTTCATCGTTCCCCTTGCCAGTTCATTTTCCTTTTATATATGAGGTGGGTCTGAAACCTCTTCCTTTGAATACATAAAATATTGGTCTGGTCCTGATATGTGACTCTGTGAAGCTACTCAGTCAGATAGTCATACTATGAGAGTTAGAGCATAATTATCTCCAACTTCACTTTTAGGCATATGCTGCTGAAATAAGTTCATGACAAATGTAACTGTGTTACATTAGACTGCCCTTCACTCTTGCTTTTAGTTATTAATTGATTCAGAAGAATGGACAGCTTAGAAGCTTCTAGAGACAGAAAAACTTTGTAGAACTGACATTATCCAAGATATATAAATTATAATTTTAATGTATGAACATGTATTTTGAATATGTTCCTCAATTGTTCAAATAATTTATTGTCATATTTCATTAGACAAGCTTACAACATTTCTATGTTTAATTTCTAATTTTAATATTTAGATAAAGGAATTAATCAAAAATTATTGTTTTATTGCTATTAGGGAGAACCGGGGTATAAAGGAGAAAAGGGTTCAAGTGGAGATTTCTCTGGGAATACCTTCCCTGCAGGGTTCATTGAAGGACCTCCTGGTCCTCCTGGACCACCTGGACAAAAGGTAGCAAGGCTAAGTCTACCCCTGCACGAATTGTTGATTGTGGAATGACTTATTATGTAGTTGCATAGTCTGCATGCTTGGTTAGTTCATGTTACAGGAATCAGTTTTATTGACTGGTTCCTGACTGTTCAAAAAAGAAATTCAACTTCAAAGTTATAAGATTTGACTAAGAAGAGTTGAATTTCTTCCATAAGGCAATGGGTTGAAAATAAAGAAATTGCATGACTGAACATTTTACCAATATACCCCCAGGGAGAGCCAGGTGAATGCAAAGATGGTGAACCTGGACCCACTTATCCTCGTACAATTGACAGAGGACCCTCAAATAAAAGTGTAAGTCATGGTCGATACAATATCACCAATTATACAAAATTCAGATATTGCAAAGGGCAATAGGCCAAAAGAATTAGATATTTGTTGTACCTCCCCCATCCTCCATGCTTGGATTTGTTTTTTCTGATTTATTCAAAATCTTGTATGCATGAGGACATAACAAAAAATCTTCTTCTTATGACCTTATTTGAAAAACACAACATATCAATGAACCAAGATTTAAATTTCTGATTTATTCCTTGAATCTTTTATCTTCAACAGAATCTGAATTTGAAATATTTTGATAGTCTATAGGTTAGCTAAAAAAGCTGCAGTCACAGATAAATAGTACACATTGTATATGTTGTAAAATTGTTCATTAAAATTGTGCATAGGAAAACTTTCCAGTACTTCATGGTTTATTAACAATTTTATTATGTGTAAATGTTCCTGTGGTGAAATGATTCTGCCTTTGAACTATAAATGACTAGATTTTAAGAGTTCAAAGAAATTGTGACTTGAGTGAATGAATGTTTGGGAATTTAGTGACTGCAGCATGTAAAGCAATTGTGACTGCAGCTCAGAGTTGAAGTATCAAGAAAACTGTTTTCTACATTTATTTGTAATCGATTGCATGTTGCATGAATGCATGATCCATAGCCACTACTTTCTGTTTATTAAAGAAACGAGCGAAGCAATGTACCTACAAAGTTGTGCGTTTCAAGAGACCAAGCCGAACACGCAAACGCAAGGTCCGTCATCTCAAAAACCATCACCACAAAAATGCAAAACTTGAAAAGAATGCATTTGAAAAACTATTCGGCCATACTTACAAAATTCAAGATGTGAATTTTGATGATGATTTTAAAGATCAGGTATTCAGCCTTTCTTGTCACATAATTAAGTTAATATTCATCACTTGTATGTAGGTTTTTTTTCATGCTTTGTCACAAAAACATTTTGCTAATATTCTAAATTTTCTTTGCTATTTTAACACTGCAGTCACAAATGCTTTGCAATTTTTAAAACATAACTCACTGATCTCATAGATTCAAACTTCTAAAATGATGTATTAAGTTCACTAGAATCTCCTCAAAACCATACACAATTTCTACCAATTGAAAAGTAGTTTTAGTACCACACCTAGAGGTATTGGACGAAGCCCTCTTATATTAACCATAGAGGTAAGATTTTTGCTTGTTCCTTTGTGTGCACTCATTCCACACATTTGTAAGTATTGTGGACATTTTGACATTAAAACAACCTTTGGGTAGTCTCAATACTGGAGTAGTGCTTGATGTACATGATGTAATGTGGTGTTGGGACCACTGAGCAATCATTTGGATTAACCTAATATTATATTTGCTCTATATTAAATAATCATCACACATAATACATTAAATGATTGTTTGAAATTAATATCAATAAAAAATAAATAATTGTAATATGTAATTTTGTGACCATAATTTGGACAGATATAAGAAAATATATTAACATGAATCATGGATTTGATAAAAAAATTAAATTAAAGCTATTATTCCAACAAAAAAAAACATATCAATATTTGATAAAAAAAAAAGATCTAAAACTGGCCTTTTTGACAAGATTAAATTCAGGTTGCATACACATTGTGATTATAATACATTTAACTTTCATTCAATAATCTTTACTGTAGGGTGAGATTGGATTGCCTGGACCCGTTGGGGTAGGAAAGAAAGGGGATAGAGGAAGAAGAGGAAAGAAGGTGAGCCACATTTTAAGTTATTATTAAATGTTCTTGGTATACTCTATAGGTATTTTGGTACATATTTAATGTGACTTATATGCAAGAATGGAAGAATATGTAAGAATATGATCATCGTAGATACAGTGTATGTCCTTGTATTAGGTGGTATATTTCTGTTATCAACAGATAGCACCTAATCCATGGATCATACTGTCTAGATTGTCAACATGTACTAGATATATAGTATTTGATATTTTCAACCAAGCTGTATTATTTTCATCTAAAAAGTGAATATTCTTAATTTATTAAACTTCCACAATTGGGGTGACTAGATTTGTTCACGCCATGTTTATATAAAGAAGTAAGTAAAAAGATGAAATTCAAATATTTATTAAAACAATAATGAGTGTGATTTGCTGGAACTGCATGCCTTATGGATTTACAGTAAGTGATAAGACAGTAGGTTTGTTTTTAGAAATATTAGTTTTACAGTATGTTAGATTTATTTCAGTGTATTGAAGGCAATTTTTACTTTCTTGCTTCTAGTTTTCAAATCTTCTTTGTGCTTGGTCGTGTTATGAACACAGAGTTTCTAAATCTCTCTCAAAGTTGTTCTCCCTATAATCTCCAACTCTTACTTGGAGTATATCTAATAAAGGAGAATAGATATGTTGATGAGATTTGGGCACCCTGTGTTCAACAAATCACTTTGTGGACATGTTATGTGTTATCTCACTAAGATCAGTCTCATGCACAACCCCAGAATACATTCAAATTGGTGGGAATGTGTGTAAGACTGTAAATGAACATTCTTCACAAATACTGAGGTGAAATGGATGTTCAAAACAAAAGTTTTAATATCTCTGTGGCAATGTCTGGAAGAGATATGTGTTCAAAATGATGTTGCACTATGAGGGATTTTTAAATGTTCACATTTGTTTATTTCAATGTACATTCCTCTTGTAGTACAATTGTGTTGTTTCATTGCATGAAAGTAAATATTGTATTGTCTATTGTGAATGTGTGCTGTATAATTCTAGTCTGTTCTTCCAAGTGTCTGTTGTCCTCATGTTTCCCTTTCTCATCCCTACTCCTATCTTCTTCCTAATATGTAAGGACATATACTACCCTATTTCCCAACCTTAACACTAATGTAACTAAATGCAGTAAAAGTGTGTAAAATATGTTCGATCAATTCTGTTATACATGTAGCTGCTTTCGCTTTCAGCACCCAATGCTTGCAAAATGTGTTGCTAGACAACACTGTCCATCGCTATGACAACCACCTGTTGCTTTGACAACTTACCCACTAATATTGATACTCTATTTATATTTTAGACAGGGGCTATGATGTTTTGCATGTTTTAGGGTGATCCTGGACCTGAGGGGAGAATGGGGCCTCAGGGCCTCCCAGGTCCCCGTGGGCCTATAGGCCTGAATGGATACAGAGGTCTGCCAGGCATGCAGGTAACCATAGCAATGTAATAATATCAAATATCATTAATATGGGTTTGGTGCATCAATTTTCAGACAGTTATACTTTACTATTGTTAGGATTAAAAGGGTGTGCCAGAAGTAGAGTCAGTTCAGTAGAATTTACTTCTCCTTTTGGACACCCTGTATGTTTATGTAGAAATCAACAGATACCATAATAAGTTTCTACTGATCCTATTCCATAGAAAGTATACACTGAAATCTGTTTATGCACCAGGCCTGAAATGCTACTCCCCATACCTTCATTTAACGTGTACCCCTAGATGCTAACAGTCTGACATTGCAGGGGAGAGGAGGCAGTAAAGGAAGTACTGGGGTAGAAGGTCCCCGGGGGACTGAAGGTCCTCAGGGGGACCCAGGGGAACCAGGTCTTCAGGTAAATCACAGGCCATCTCTTTATCCTCATAATAAGGAGAAAATGTTTAAAAATTGTTATCGCTCATTTTTCCTCAAATTTTGACACAAACCAATTTGTATCAGACTTGAAAAGGAATCAAACTGCATGAGCCTGAAATCCTCTAGATTTTCTTTCAATAGATTCACATTGATCATGGAATTCTATTTTAAAAAACATGTTCAATGTGAATCTATTAAAGATAGCTGCTCAATATTCCCGCATATCTTGGACAGAAGCCTTGGTGCATTCAGCTCTATAAACATGTAGTAGTAGAGTCCCCTGCATTACAGTACTGTCAAACTTCTTGTATATTATAAATATTTTGAACTAGGTATTTAAAGGAAAATTAACTCAGCTCATGTATTGAAGCAAAAGGAAGAAATGCAAAAACACATCAGCAATTTTATATCAACCAATTTACTAATCTCTATATTTAAATCATCTTTAAATACCTAGGTCAAGGTACCTTTTGAAACAAATACTATTCAAAAGAGTATTATTTCTGTTGCAAGCCACACAATGACTTTTTTGAATGGTATTTGATATTAAGATATGTAAGTGATTGGCATTGATGGGGATATTGCGTACATTTAGGGTGAAGTTGGTCCAGCAGGTATGCCAGGTGTGCCAGGGAAGGATGGTATGAGGGGAGACAAAGGTGACCAAGTGAGTAAAACTGCATGGAGACTAGCTAGTGACTCATTAGATGATATTGTTTAGACCAGAGGAGGTGAATCAATCCCAGGATGTGTTTGAGTCATAATGCATTCTGGGATTAATCCAACTCTTCTTTTTCAGAATAAATTGTGTATAGGGGGAATCAAAATGCGAGCAATAGCTCGGCATGCAGCACGCAGTAGTAGCACAAGTCCCATATTTGGAATTCTTCAAACAACCACCACCCCTCCAACCATCAAGCGATCTCGTAAAGTGCGAACAAACGTCCATTGTGATCACATGGTAAGTGGGCTCATTGAGTGGTTTGTTCGCGCTTGCGGAGTGTATGGGACTTGAATTTGTTTAATTTTTTCTTTCATAGACTTCTTTGGAAAAGTGGTGTCTAAGGAAAAATCAAATAAATTCATTCACCATGTTTGTTAGTTGGTTGGCTGGTTTAGTGGGCCATGTAATAATTACTATAACACAATTCCCAAATTAATGTTCTGTTCATAATATGGCAATATTTACAAAATACATCATAGTATGAGCAATTTCACTATCATAAATTCTATAATCAATGACATGTCGGGTGTCCCAAAAAAGTGAATCACTTTTTGACAGGTATTTACTCAGCAATTGATCACTCAAATCTATTGAAAATTTCTTTAAAGTAGCCCAATGGTATTGTTTGGAAGTTGTACAAATATGAAAAAAAATGGTAATATATTATGTGAGAACTGACAAATTCAAAAATGCATTAAATCAATTTGGAGGGAAAAACAATGCCTTTAAATGATAAGCGATAAGGCTACTATTTCTTGTTGAAAGGTTTGGGTTTGGATGGAAGATGAATCGTTCAGGAATTAATGGCAAGAGTTAGAGGCATGTTATTGTAAATAGACTTATGGACAAAAATGCACAACATCAAGCATGCATTAAAGGACAGAATGATTATGTCATGGGAGCAGGATTTATGGAAAAATACACAAAAGCATTTTTGCTTTGTAAGCTTCTCCTGAATAATTTTTAGAAAATTTGTCTTTTATATAGCTGAGAAAATACTTGTCAAAAAGCAATTCACTTTTTTGGGGACACCTGGTATTTGTGAGTGGGGTTCACGAAATATATTTAGCTCATATTATATCAACATGCAGTATGTCTTATAAACATAAAGCTATACTGTGGTATATTTTGTCAATAAACAGTTACTTCTGGTGCTGCATGTCGTGGTATAGCCCTACTTATGTATTTTTGTTATTGTACTTTTGTATTTGAATTTGAACTTTTTTATATTTATAATTTTTTGAGTATTTTGTAAATTACAGAATATTTTCAATGTAATTATTGTATTTTCAGTGTCAACATTGATCATTCATGATGTGTATTCAAATTCAATTTTCAATTTATGTATTTTGTATTTCATCCACTTAAGGTATAAAACATTAAAGTTATGTATCATGAAGGACACTTTAAACTATAGCCAGATATTGTGTTTGAATGCATTCTGATAGTTCTGTGTTGACACTTTCATATTATGTAAAATACATAGTGTATAAGGAATGTTAACAAGGACTTACTGCATTTTGATTGCTTGAGGTAGTTTGCATGGATGCTACTAGGCATATTATGAGAACAATGCAAATTAAGATGTTCACCCAATGATCACATACTGAGATCTTGAGGTGAACAATGTTTGAGCTGAGGTCAACAATTTGGCTGTTGGAGTTAATAGTCATACTGCTAAGGTGAATCAGCTGTTGTGATCAATTTTGAGTCGGGACAATCTGCACTGCACATATTAAATGGAAGTACTTCATTCTCATGTTTTTTAAATTGATTTTCTGCAATATGTTGTAAGTGAACAATTTTTTAGATTGAGTTTAAAAGCTTGCATTGAATCTCCAAAATATGATGGCATCAATACTATAAAAAGAGTATATTAGAAGGACCATGATTTGTGAATGATTTTAGTATAGTAGTTTGCATTGCAGAATGATTTAACAATACATGTACTTTGGATTATGGTGTACTTATGTATGTTTGTATTTATGTTTTGAGTAACTGCGACCCATAGCCAGATAGTCAGAAGAAGATGTCAATACAACTATAAATCCAAAGAGGGTCTCTGACATTTTTATGGAAACCCCTGGCTATGAGTCTGTTACCAAATTGTATTCTACAGATATGCAATTGAATAGCTAGTCATAGGATGAGCTGTGCATTGTGTTTTTGAAGTGTAGCTGCCATTCTGGGCAACAGTGTGTATAGTGTGTTCTGTAGAACTGATTAGAAGCAAATGTAAGATGGGCATACTTTAAATGTGCAGCTGAATAAAATTGATTGAAGAATAAACCAGTTGCTGTCTGTGGTTACTGATCTATGCGTAGAACTAGTAGTAGACTATGTTTGTTTGATACTACAATTACAATTTATTTTGCTGTGACCATAAGTAGACTATGTTTGTTTGATGATACTACAATTACGATGTATTTTGCTGTGTGACCATGGGACGATTGCCACACTTTGCTCAGATTCTTATTTTATGTCTCATTTCCTGGAATGTCCTTACTGCATCTTCACCATTTATTTCTCAACATTTCTTAACCTATTCTTAACATGTGTCTGTATTGTCTTATAGATAGAAATCTTTGCTTCTACACAGTATACTGCAGATTGTTTGTGAATTCACTTTGTATCATCATTTAAACCCGCATAATTCTCACTATAAAGCATCTTGGACTAACACACATCTTTCTTATTAACCCACACTGTACCAATGTCTATGTGCTTTATAACCTGTCTTAGGGCTTTATGGGAGGCAAGGGTGAAGCTGGCGCCATAGGCTTACCAGGAAAGGATGGATCTATTGGGCCCCCAGGTCTTCCTGGACCTCCGGTAATATACACATTGCGTTTTTCACTGTTTTACTACTCATTTGGCTATTACTTCAATGGTAAAGGATGGTTTCCGATAAGGTATTAGTCAAATGTACAACCTAGAAAAACATGTACCTGAAAATGAAGTGATTTTAATATATGAGCCTGGCCATAGGAAAACCGGTCTTATCACAAAATTAAAATTGTGCTACAGAGCCAAAAATGTGCCCACGATTAAGAGGAAAATGTGCTAAATTCAGATCCGACTTTTTGGTCTATATATGCAAGGAAAAATTGTTAGGACATAAGCCATGGCTCATTTGAAAGGTTTCTTTGTGCTTTTTAAGATAAACAAAAAATCAGAATATTGAAAAAATCTGTGATAAGACCCCTTTTCCTATGGCCTGGCTCATATTTTGTTTTTTGAGGCTTTGCAGAATACTTTATAAATCATTTTTCGTTCTAACACTAGACAGAAATATTTGTAAAATATATAAGTGGATATGTGCACACACAAATTATAATTGTCCAAAACGAGACACTTTCCTTTGTGAATCTGTGACAAGATGAGAAGGTGAGATTTCATTAAATTATATTACTGCTACTGGATGCAGTTATCTTTTAAGCATTAGAAATGAGGTTAGTATGACCTTCAATATTTTTGGTTTTTATTTGAGAATTGACCCTCATTATCCCAACGAACAAAGTTCATTAGAGATAAAGTGAAGTCCTCAATCTTTCAGTCATTCAGTTTGAGAAGATAACTCAAATAATTCAAGATAGAGTTTCTTCATATTTGTTGCAACGATGATGATCGATAAGATGGTCGCCACTTAAAAAAGGGAGAATTTTTCACGAAAATCTGTTTTTCATTTCTAACAAAAGTAATAAGTATTACTGTTTGGAATTTTGGTAGTATATCCATAAAATATAATATGACATATATTCTGTGTAACCAGCCTGACCCCCATGGGCCATATATGGGAGGCCGGGAAAACAAGAATTTTCATTAATTTTTAGATCTTTCTGAAGTATAGCTTTATTACTCTCAAATGACAGGCAATTTAGAGTATATTGCAAATATTGTATCATTTTTCTGATTCGGGCCTCAGAAAATTCAAAACGGCTGCCTTATGTGGGTTTCTGTGCCTTCATGCCTCAGGAAATGGCCGATTTCTCGTTCAGGAAGCATAAAGGGCAACATTGGGAAACACAACCCCTTTAAACCTTAAGAATTTGCCAATATGCTGATTATTTACTTGTTCTGTTTCTACAGGGTGAAGCAGGAAATGGAGGAAATGGCATGGGAGGTGGTGATGGCGGCAGTGGAGACGGGGTAAGTTATTGGCCTTATGTTCTATCATGTTTCTTTCCATTGTTACATGTAGGTTAGTATATACAAAATGTCAAATAATATCCAGTCACATTTATTTTTGTCTGAATTAAAAATATTTTCTTGCACACATAGTGAAAGATATCAGGCACTCTCACAGTGTATGGTCTTCCAATCAAGATTTGTTTTGTTGTGGGAGGGGCACTTGGGGAGATAACTCTTCCTAACAATCATTAAATGAAAGGAATATACAATACAAGTAATATCAAGTAATAGCAAAAGTAGTACACTGTTTCTGCATAGAAAGGTGAGTAATGTGTGAATTGGAGTGCTGGGTGAATGCTGAGTCCAGTGGTGAGTAATGTGTGAATTTGAGTGCTGGGTGAATGCTGAGTCCAGTGGTGAGTAATGTGTGAATTTGAGTGCTGGGTGAATGCTGAGTCCAGTGGTGAGTAATGTGTGAATTTGAGTGCTGGGTGAATGCTGAGTCCAGTGGTGAGTAATGTGTGAATTTGAGTGCTGGGTGAATGCTGAGTCCAGTGGTGAGTAATGTGTGAATTTGAGTGCTTGGTTAATGCTGAGTCCAGTGGTGAGTAATGTGTGAATTTGAGTGCTGGGTGAATGCTGAGTCCAGTGGTGAGTAATGTGTGAATTTGAGTGCTGGGTGAATGCTGAGTCCAGTGGTGAGTAATGTGTGAATTTGAGTGCTGGGTGAATGCTGAGTCCAGTGGTGAGTTTGGTAAGATGTACACTTGTAATGAGGGAGTTTATATTATTACTTCAATAAATTTTAGAATTTTTATGATCTCCATGTTTTTCTTCTGTACTCATCTATGGCTTCTATATATTCTTGTTATGTATGCCTTATGTCTTTTGGTGTTTCAGATTCCAGGCCCTCCAGGGCCTCCTGGTTTAATGGGTCCAATGGGCCTTCAAGGCCCTCCTGGCATAAAGGTCAGAATCTTACAAGTGATCAACAGTGGCCATTGGCTTGAGAATTGAAGAGAAGAACATGAAAGTGTTTTATAAGAAATGCAACAAACTTTGTTATTTATGGTTCTTTTAATAAATGGACTATTTTGTCGCTTCCATATGATCGAGAGATGGCCACTGTAAGATTTTTGTATGGTTTATAATGTTAGAAAGTGTTTTCATTCCATACTTCTTGATTTTCCATTTCTGTACACTGATCTTGTTGAGTCCTTCATTTTATTTATAAACCCTTGTTCTAATTCTTCTGAATATGATTATTCTCTCACAGATATATTGTGTTCTCAATTTGGAATTAGCATGTGTTGAGTTCAGTTTTACTGAGATAGACTTTAAATCTTTATTCCCAATTCTTTATGAATTCTCCAGGATATTTTATGATGATGGTTCGATTATGATGGTTTACTTGCACTGTTTTCAATGCATTGTTCCTTTTAGGGGGATAGTGGTGCAATAGGGCCAAAAGGAGAGCCTGTAAGTTGCCTGAAAGCATGTTGAATGCTGCATATATGTTCTTTGCATGTTCCTTGTGTCATTACCACCATTCAGAGTGACCATTCTTGTAGTTCAATCCAGTGTGCTCTATTGTTCTTAAAACTTTTCAATAGGAATAATTACTTGAGTATCTTTTACATGGAATGTTTATCCTAATACAAGAATCTGTTTCCCAAAACTATCATAAAAATGGTTTGTGATATAAAATTGTCTTTGATTAGATATTTTGAATTGCTAAATTTTTAAGAAACAAAATCTTGTGTTATCATCAATCTCTTTTCATAATCATTCTAAGCATTTCCTTAGTTGGTATGGCTATAGCCTATGGTTGCCAATCATTATAATAACTCTTAATGGTATAGAAAGCCCAATACCACATGTTTTGGAATAGAACATAGTTATACAGTATTATGTCTTAATATTTGGCATGTAGAAATATGGCCCTCATTGTTTGCCATGATACATGAAGCATATATATGGCCATGCATATACTATAACCATACCTGAAAGTGAATATAATCAAGAATAGTGAGCAGTCAACCATTGTTCAGCTGTTAATGTTAGGAGCTCAAGAACAGAGTGCTATGGAGCATATTTCATTAGTTTATGCCACAGCTCTAACTTAATGTTAACAGTTTAACAGAATGATGACTCTATTTAGATGTGACTGATAACTGATTATACCATTATGATATGTTGCCATCATTTATGCCAAATAATCAAATGTCCCTGGACCTATTTAATGGATTAAATAATAATGTGTATTTTCAATTTTTCATGCTGATACTGAACAATAATTTCATGTGCATTGTATACCTGCATGGGTTGATCAAAGTTGTTTGAAGCTGATTTTGTAGAAAAATGACAATATACTTACTAACTATATCGTAATAGGTTATCTAAGTAGAAGTTTCTCTTGCAAGATCTTCCAGAATTTTACGTAGAAATCAATATAGACTGAACAATAACAGCATATGGCATGCTAGAAGTATTTTACAATATGTACATGAAGCTTGCATGTTTCTGTGATTTGAACTATTGACTGTTTAATAGATGGCATTGTGCGGAAGAATAGATTGCATTGTGATTTATAGATGTCAGTGTTAAAGTATGCATGATGGCTCATGTGTATGGATGAGTGAGTTGCATGAATAATGAAATTGCACACTAACCCTGCTTTCTTAATAAACCTAACAAAAGTTGCATATATAAGAAGTGCTTATAATAGATCTGATGTTAAATAAGCTTTAATGTTTAAATGACTTTAAGTTAAGACAAAATTTTATTTCATTTTTATTATATATTGAAAGCTTTTTATAGAATGCTTTTAGGGAAAGTTCATTAGAAGGCATAGAAAAAAGTTTATTTTTGTAATTGAATATTATGTTTTCATGCACTTTGAAACTTTTGTTTGACACTTTTTCTTGACAGCATTTAAAAATTGTTTCCCCTTACTCAGAGCAGTATTATGCTCAGAAAAACCTTATATGTCTATGTGTGACACAAAATGATAAAGATATTTTCTTTGATCTTTTAACATTAAACTCTGTTTCTTATTTTGGTAATGCACAGTGCGCAATGCAAAGAGTGTATGCTTGTGGTTTTATTTAAAAAGGTACTCAAACATGGTTATGCATATTTTTTTTCTATCTGTAGATGGGCCGCGTAATTCATATTGATATTTTTGTAATACAGCTATTTCTGTTTTGGCGCATTGTTCTCAGGGTTGATTCCATTCAAGAATTTGACTTGCAAACCAGGGGAAAAATATTTTCAAAATAAGAAACAGAGTTTCTAAATGTAAGTCCAAAATGTGAAATATATGACCATAATTCCTGCTGCACTTGCTTCATCAGCAAGAGCCACAGGCATGATGGGATTGCTTGTCCTCCTGTTGTGTCACTTACTTTCTCTTTGAATGTATCTTTTGAATGTTGACTTTTGGAATGACAGGCCCTATTTGTGTCTGTAGGGTTCTCTAGGCCACAGGGGGGAATCTGGCCCTATGGGCTTACCTGTAAGTCTGCCTCTATATTTAAGCATGCTTTCTAACCTGACACCCCTTATATAACAAACTTCAAAATGGAACATTCCATTATGCATCATTGACTGCATTTTGGATTGTTCTATTTTGGACAGGGGTGACAGGTCCAAGAAATGTAAGGTCCTTGTGTGTCAAACAATTTCTGTCAAGTATTTCTATTTTTGTTTTTGTTTGTCACAATTTTATTTGTTTGAGTGTGAATATTAATTTAATGAAGATGATGCACTGGTGAACCACTGTTATATTAGTACACATACTTGTATATATTTTATAGTACATCACTGCACTGTCTTTTAACTAAAACTTATCATTGATTCGCTGTAACAGATTTTCAAAAACAATATAACCAGATAACAGAAATGAATACTGAAAGTACTACCATTGGTGTACAAACATTGCTTTTCATTTATAGTGTGGCTTTAACTTTTGGCCTCTGGTCTAATATACTTACATAATATCATAACAATTATATATTTTTTACTTATATATTCTTTTTTCTTCAATTTTTGAGGCATATTGTAGCGAATAAGTTTTAGTTGAAAGATATATTATTCAGAAATAGATTCTATTTAATCTTTTTTATGAGAGATAGTGACAATTTTGTTTCATGTTAAACACAACATTATCTTATGTTTAGCATGTATGAATAGTATACACATTGTATTTTTCTTATCCATTTTATTTTTTCAAGCCAAATCATAATTTATTGGCTTTTAGAAAATAAAATGAAATTCTAAAATATATTTATTTGAATGTTTCTACAATAAGCTGACTCAACAAATTTTATTTTCATGTTGTTATCTGCGCTTTGCGAATTTTTCTCACTTTAGTTAATTAGCAGTACACTACACGATGTCTTCTTACAGATTTGTTAATCTCAATCTATATGTTGCAACTCACCAGGAACAAACTGATGCCAAATTGTCAGAGACTAACATCACTATGAAAACACTGTCGCATAAATATTGGCTGAACTGAGCGCTGCTATAATTGTAAACATAGCCTTTGATGCAACCCTTTTAACCATATCCTTCAAAGTTTCGCTGTCAAATCAATACAACTTTGAAATGTTTATAGTAAATTTAAAAATTGCTGGTTTTGTATTTTACGTCTTATTTAATTCTTTCTCTAAGTCCATATAAGTGTATTTTGGAGGTTGTGTTGAGGTTGGGTTGTGTTGAAGGCTGTTGCTGCTTTGCTTTGCTGCGTGCATTGAGAGTGTTTTGTGTGTGTTGTGTAGGGAGCCATGGGAGTACCAGGTCTGAAAGGTGAAGAGGGTAAGACTGGAGGACCAGGAGCATCAGTAAGTACAACAAATACTAAATATTCTTTCAAAGAGGTTCACTGCATCTTCACTCTAAAAATTAGAGATGATTATTTGATCTATATTCATATTCCCAAATAAAGTCATGAAATGTGCATTTGAGATTGTTAAGATCCATCTATCAGAAATGTAAAATCATGTATTATTGGTCAGAGGGTAGTGTGGCTTTGGCATCTGATGGCATTCGGATAAACAATCATTGAGTATCGATGATCAGAAAAATGATCCAGGGATACAAGAAAATACAGTTATGGTAAAGTTTAATACCAACCCATACATTCAATTCAAGCACTATTTCAGTTCTTATAAAAGTATTGTGTACTGTTTCATTTCTTATAAAAATAGGCATGAAAACAGATTTTGAAATATTTAATAGTTTAAAAGTAAATGAGGCATCACATAATGTGATTGAATACATTCATTAATCCAATGAATGTACGTCTACATTCACTCAGCTTCCATCGGTCTTAACACTTGGAAGACCAGCAAGTGAAGATGATGAATTCATGGAAGAGTCTATTATTTCAGGGACCACCAGGGCCTCCTGGACCTAAAGGGGAGATAGGTGTTGGTGAGAAGGGAGACAAGGGAGACACAGGGGTGCCAGGACCAAGGGTAAGCTGGAAATCTGATTCTTCATTCTTTATTTAAACTTTCCCTATGCTTCAAATGCTTATTTATCAAAACAGAAATTGCATTTTAATTTTATAATACTCCACAACAACTTGTTTCTATCGACATTATTGCAGAATGCTTAAAATTGTCCTATCCTAGAGCTGTAGTGTTAAGATGTTCTTGTAGATCCTATTTCTGCACCATAATATTCTTCTAAGATACCACCCTACTGCTGTATAATGCTTATAAATTAAAAAGTTCTTATTGTAAAGCTTTTAAAGTAAAGAATAATCTTATTGGTGAAGCACAATATAAGGCAATGCCTAAGCAATCAAATGCTTTCTGTCTATGTTATCTAGGGGCCAGAAGGTGCCAGTGGCAGTTCAGGATTACCGGTGGGTACAGCTTGCTTTCTTTCTTCTTACCACCTTAAAAATGTTATAACATATTCAATTATTATCCCATCGAACAAAATCTGAAGAGGATATAGTCCATCCGGCCATCCATTCTTGTGTTTAGGCATGGGCTTTCAACTAGACTAGAAGGGTAGGCAACTTCCCATATTTCATACAAAAGCATTGGGTTCTAGTTGAAAGCCCATGGGTTTTCAAATTGGAGAATGTACACATTCCAAGAAAATCTTATTTTGTACTTTTTATGGATGATTTAAAGAAATAACTCAAAAATAAAAACATGATTATCTGCATACATGTTGATAATTTAATAAAAAATGGAATTCATTATAATTATGGCAATAAAGAAAGTGAACATTCTCCCACAAATTATGTTTATTGGAATGTGTTCTTGAATAATTACCCATAATGCAATACTCCATGAGAAACTATTGAGACCTGTTATTCTTATTGGTCTTTTTGTTTACTTTTACATGAGATTGAACATATTTTATGCTTTAATCATATTGAAAATGGATTTTTATCCAAAATAATACTCAAACATATACATTTATAAAATACTTTTTGAAATGTCATTATCATAAAAAGGGAAACATGGCTTATTTTGAAGGTCTCATGTTTATTACACAGAGTTGCATACCCTTCTAAAAAGCCCTTCTGAAAAACCCTTCTTGAAAGCCCATCCTAATTGAAAGCCCATGGTTTAGGCAATAACTCATATACTTGTTGACAGATTTGATTCAAAGTTTATAGGCTAATGCCTTATGGGTGTTGGACTGCTGCTCGAGATGGAATTTTCAATATGCCCTCTCAATTCGTAATGGCCACCAATTTTCCTAAAAATGTAATCTTTGATACCAGTAACTCAAATACTAGTTGACAGATATATGCTGCTACCCAGGGACAAAGGAACTCAGTGGTTCAAATTTGTTTACTTTGTGATGTGTTTACATAAAAAAGTGTTCACATTGATGTTTAGATAGGACTGGAATTATGTCAGCCTGGAAGAAGTACAGGGTGAGCTAAAAAATGGTAACCCAAACAAATATTAATAACTCAGTCATCCAGTATGGGTTTTAAGTCGTATTAAATATATTTGAACCTTGTTTGATGTTCTTTCATTTTATAAAGTTTCATTAGTCTTAATGTTCAAGATTTCATGGCATTTTACAAAACATGTTCCAAATGCCAAAACATACCAAAATCACCCAGAGGCGTAGCTAGCCCATTTTGCGAGTGTACGCCTGTATGATTTCCCGGTTTTATCAAAATTAACAAAACGATGGTTCCATAAAATAGGAAGATCCTGGGTGTTCAGAAGATAGGGGACACTAAACACTCTTAATTCAATGAAGGAAATATGTATTGTTTGATCATTTTGACATAGCTTTTTAAAGGGATTGAATTAACAGATAATATTCGGGAAACAAAATACACAGATTCTATATAATCATGCCATCGGCGATCGAAGCCGTCTATCAAGGCGATTTTATTTTTTAGGCTACCTAAAACTGTATGTATGAGGCTCATTGTTTTAAGCTTTTGTGGTCATTCTCCATGAAATATTATTATTTTTTCTGTGTTTGTTTTTATCTAGCTCACAAGATGATTAACAATAAAAGAACAGTTACACGACCGTCTCAACTCCATTTCGGATCTTAACAATCTGTACGTGATTCTATAGAATAAATTCTATCTTTCTGTTTTTTTGCATTTGCGAACATGTCAATAACAGTATCAATGTTTATATCCTGTTCCCTATGGATATGTATCATGGCCAAGGAAGAAAGTCTTTCCTCGTTTATTGTGGAACGCAAGTATTACTTAATGCGTTTCAAACTGCTCAAGCTTCGTTCAGCCACGCAAGTGGATACTGGCAATGTTAGCAGCTGGACCAAACACGTGTAGACATCGGGGTAAACTACAATGTCAACTGAACTGAAATGAAATAAAATTCTCTAATTATCAGTAGCTAACTGATTCAAAACAAAGAAATAATCGAGAACTTTTTTATTTATTAACACGAGTCTTCATAGATCTCCTATCGATTTCTATCTCTTGGTAAAATATTTATTTTTCATCACAATTAATCAGGTAAATTTTATTTTTCCTTAAAATTTGAGAGTTCGCCTGGGCGTACTTGGCGTACACTTAGCTACGCCACTGTCACCTAATATGAAACCCTGGCATTTTGCCTTACAAGCATCAGGGAGTTGAAACAAGAGATTGAAGGCAAATGAGAGCCATTACACAAGATATCTGTGAGCGTATAATCAGAAAACTTCTGATCCGTTCAAAATTTGTAAAATAGCCGGAAAATCTTGACCATTTGGAATAGACCAATAAAAATTAGGTGAATGACAGAACATTGAACAAGGTGCCAAATACGACTTAAAACCCATACTGGATGACTGAGTTATTAAGATTTGATTGGGTTACCTTTCTTTGGATCACCCTGTATGTTCTGACATGTTCACATAATGTTTTGTTCGTGACAGGATTGTTTCACATGTTTCATCAATGGAGTTGTGTTTGTATTCTTTCACATGTTATGTCAATGGAGTTGTGTTTGTATTCTTTCACATGTTATGTCAATGGAGTTGTGTTTGTATTCTTTCACATGTTATGTCAATGGAGTTGTTTTTGTATTCTTTCACATGTTATGTCAATGGAGTTGTTTTTGTATTCTTTCACATGTTATGTCAATGGAGTTGTGTTTGTATTCTTTCACATGTTATGTCAATGGAGTTGTGTTTGTATTCTTTCACATGTTATGTCAATAGAGTTGTGTTTGTATTCTTTCACATGTTATGTCAATGGAGTTGTGTTTGTATTCTTTCACATGTTATGTCAATAGAGTTGTGTTTGTATTCTTTCACATGTTATGTCAATGGAGTTGTGTTTGTATTCTTTCACATGTTATGTCAATAGAGTTGTGTTTGTATTCTTTCACATGTTATGTCAATGGAGTTGTGTTTGTATTCTTTCACATGTTATGTCAATGGAGTTGTGTTTGTATTCTTTCACATGTTATGTCAATAGAGTTGTGTTTGTATTCTTTCACATGTTATGTCAATGGAGTTGTGTTTGTATTCTTTCACATGTTATGTCAATAGAGTTGTGTTTGTATTCTTTCACATGTTATGTCAATGGAGTTGTGTTTGTATTCTTTCACATGTTATGTCAATGGAGTTGTGTTTGTATTCTTTCACATGTTATGTCAATGGAGTTGTGTTTGTATTCTTTCACATGTTATGTCAATGGAGTTGTGTTTGTATTCTTTCACATGTTTTGTCAATGGAGTTGTGTTTGTATTCTTTCACATGTTATGTCAATGGAGTTGTGTTTGTATTCTTTCACATGTTATGTCAATGGAGTTGTGTTTGTATTCTTTCACATGTTATGTCAATGGAGTTGTGTTTGTATTCTTTCACATGTTACATCAATGGAGTTGTGTTTGTATTCTTTCAGGGTCCCAGAGGGAAGAGGGGCAAGAAGGGGGTGAAAGGAACAAAAGGAACACAGGTATATTATAATATTATAGTGGGATAATTATTATAACTTTCACATATTATTCAAGATGCCAAAATGGTACATTGATTAATTTCTTTACCAGCATAATGTTAAATTCAAACATAAGTGCAGTAGGCATACAGAGGTGGAAAGAAGTGGAGTTTTTCACCAATTGAATAAAACTTTGTGTTTACAGTAGTATCAGTTCAAACTGATGTGAGCTATTGTATGCCTATGTCATACTTGATGATCACTTGATTCTATTTATGAAAGGTTTAGGTAATATCATACAACAAACAAACAAATTGATTACACTTTACAATTCAACCAATTCGTGTACAGCATCCAGATTCCAGATATTCACATTTTTCTATCGTAAAGTAGTTGCCTCTTTCTCTTGGTTGCACATATAGATTGTTGATTTTAGGGCATTCCGGGTCTAGATGCACCATGTCCCGTAGGAAGTGATGGTCTTCCACTACCGGGTTGTGGGTGGAGACCCCAGAGGAAGGTAGTCTGATGACTCAATTATTGCCTGTTAGCATGGCAACCCAATATGCCCTGTTGGCATGGCAAGCACAAGAACCATAGAAGTGTTGGCATAGCAACCATTAGTATTATAATGTGTTTGCATGACAACCACAAGCAGCATTGGCATGGCAACCATTGATGCTGACATGGCAACAATGAATCTAGAGATTGTACTAGTACAGTTTTCCCGTAATCACTGGCTAATAATGAAATGGCAACCTCATTATTAAAATCTCATTGGCATGATAGCAGTATCCTGACATTTTATATAGTTGTCCTGTTTTTTCAAATTTTTATGTTGCATGAATATTCCCAGATAATCATTCTTGCTTTAATCTTCAGTTAGTACAAGTCACAGAACAGTGAAGCATTTCTAACAGTGTATGATTGACAAATATAAAAATTTGTCACTAAAACTTAGAATGATGAAATCATCGTGGATACCACTTTCTTTCCCATAGTTGCACCTTAAAATCTTTTGTAGGCCCAGCATGAGTTTTTCTTCTATATGAAGAAACCTTACCTCATTTGATTTTGCATGCTTGTAATATTTCAGCCTTTTTCAGTGAGAGCCCACATGGGGTTTGTTAATATACTGACTTACAGAAATAGACTGGAAACTCCTCTCAATTGCATGGTTTCATTCTACAAAAACAGCGATACCATTTCGTAGATTCCAAAACAACATAAGTAGATAAGGGGACAAATGATACCATTGGATCATTTAGGCTTAAAATCTCTATATTTATCAAAACTTTTTGTAAAGCCTTGAGTTTACCACATACTGGCCATATTTGAAATACTATTTTGAAAATAATAGTTTGACATACTGTTAACATACCAATTTGAGATTAAAATATTCAAAAAATCACAAGCAATCTTATTTACACAACATAAAAGGCAGAATTACATGTCAGTTGGTATCATTTATAAAATGATTTCTGCTTTTGAATTGACAAAATATGTTCTGAGCAATAAGATAGGGTGAGTTCCCAGTTCATTTATGTAAACCCATGGTTGATTCACATGAACATGATACTATGCAGAGTGTGTTCCAGATTCTTCTTAACTGTACTTATATTTTAGTTTATCTTATAAAGATGGCGCTAAAAGAGACGAGGGATCTCTATATAATCTAACTTACTTGGGATTGATGCAATTACTAATGTTTTCTAAGTTTGATAGATGTCACCAATCATCACCTATTAGCACACACCAAACTTAATTGTCCTCAGCAGCATTGTTAGATAATTCAGTGGCATAGCAAAGCATGAGGCCAAAACTTATTTATGATAAAAGAAATTCACTCACACTTGAATGAAGTTCATTGGAGGGATTTTCTTTTCTTTTTTGACCTCACTTGGCTTGCCTACTTCAAGATGTTTGCTATGGCACTGGATATATATCAGAAAAGCAGCTGATTTCTCTTCACCTAATTCTTTATATTTTGTTGATGTTTGTTTTGAGTTTATGACACGGATGTAGTTAACTAAAGTGGTGAATTTTACTTTTTTATTGATTTGCATGTAAGACCTAATTTGTTTGTTCCTAGGGAGCCCCTGGACTGGATGCTCCATGTCCCATTGGTCCAAATGGTTTGCCTATCCCTGAATGTGGGGTCGCCAGTTATATTCCAAAATCTTGCCTCGACAACCAGGGCAATATAATCCCAGGATGCATGGGACACAATCAAATACCATAACAACAACAAATTAGTGATTTGCGACACTTTGTGCATGTACACGTAAGGCATGATAGTTTACGCATTGATTTTCTGTGATTATGTTCTTTCTTCATTCTTCACATCATTACACATTTTTAGACCTGTCAAACATTTTAATTAAAGGTATGCTCAGGTAAAATGTAATGCAATTGACTCTTCCCTATAATATTGCTACTAAATGGTGAATTTTTCTTAAAATTATTTAAAATAATCCCATTGATATTTCAAAATTCTAAAATCGGGAAAAGGTTGCCTTATTTAGTAGGTTTGCAAAAACACATTTTACTCCAAAAAGGTTACCTGAACATACCTTTATCCTTTGTTTTAAAGTAGCAAATTGCTACACAGTCTGGGAGTAATTGATTGATTGATCGATTGATTGATTGTCTACCCCCTCCCCTTCATACAATACTGAATTAATCATTAATTAATTTTTTTATTACAAAGTGACATCTATAATTTTATAATTAAACTCTGGATATTTTATCCATCATTTCTTCCATCATTGTAACAATAAATCATTTCACCTTGTATGCTTCATTTTTCAGAAGTAAACTCCAGCAACAGTAACTATAGCAACAATTAGATGTACATATTCTTGTATCAGAGAAAGCTGTAATATAAGAGAGAACACAGATGAATAAAGAATATGAAGATTATAATAGTGAATGAGACTACACAGATAAATAAAAACATACAAATAACATTTTGCCCAAAAAGATATACTTATTGTGAAGAAATAATTTGAAAAATAGTGTCGCTCAAAAGAGAGACTTGAGAGAGACATGTGGTACTGGAGGCAAAGAAATATGAAAGTCTTGAAATGGAGACAATACAGATGAATAAAAAGTCTGAAAATTAAAAGTATCTAACCAAAATTGAAGAGTTTGGTTAATTATGCAAATGAGGAAATGCAATATAGAAACGATGTAAACTGCATGTACACTTATCACCAAATATGGGCATATCAGTTTTTTTAAATTAACTGCCAAAAACTCGAGATATATTCAACTTAACATTTTGTTAGGTGACACTTGTTTGTGATCTTGTGTTTTTAATCTTTTATGATTTGATGTTTGCAGAAAAAGTTAACATCAAATCATGGTAGTAATCGGAGAGAAATATGTCTGTTTTCGAAATGTAAGCCAATTTAAAACATTATTGTTAAGTTGTTTATTGCATTATTGTGTTGTTGGCAGAAAATATAAGAGATAAATTATAGTTGCATTAGAAAAACATGTTCACTATCTTGAAAAACAGGGCCACTCTGACATTATAATGTAAATTATTAGAGGCAAAGGGTTCTTGAACTTTATGTAGAACAGATCATCTTTACCACATAATTGCACATTTGCATGTAGATTTACATCAACAAATTGTAAATATTATGAGATTATGTACATATTCTTTATGTACAATATATGTAGATTATTAGATCAATGTACAAATGCTTTCAAAGGGTGGTCAGAATTGTTTATGTTTTAAGTATTTTTATCATGAGGTCTCTGGTGCCCTTCACCCCTCTGTTTTTTCCCTATTGGGAGGGGGAGGGTGGTGTAGGGGGTGACACAGATTTGATGCTGGACTAGCTTCTGTACATACTGCAGCAATATACATACAGTACATATTATTTTAAAGTAAACAATTTTTAGGATATTTATATCCAATTTTTAAAGCTTTGTATATGTATTTCTTGCAAAATATCAACCCACTTTTAGTACATATACATATTGTTTTCAGTCCTTTTATTCAGGACAGATAGCTTCATAATGTATTGTTGTTGTTCAAAAAGTGAAAAAAATATGTTTACTATTGAGAATAGATGCTGTTTACGTGGAGTTTTGCAGTGAACAACTAGACAGATCCTGATATCAACTGACATCCAGCATATTGTATTACAAGGACTAAGCAAATATTCTTAACAATACCTTAAATCAACTGTCATTAATGTTTACCTATATGAGGGTTTAAGTCCAAGGACAATTAAATTTCTGCCTCTGTGGGGTAACCTTAGAAATTGGTTTAATTTGGGTGAATCGTTTTTTAAGTCTAATGTCTAGTTATTAAGTTGAGTTCAAGGGAAACAAGACAATAGCATATATCACAGTTTAACTTATGTTTAAAAGGAGATGAACATGATACCTTTGTCTGGCACCTCCCCCCACCACACTATATATCTCGTCTGTGTTAGAGAGAGGTGGTCTGAGTAACTTGAGGCAACATTTACAAAAATCAAGCATTATAATATGGAATAAATACATTCATATTTTAGATATTTTTCCATACAATATTCCACTGGAGTCCCTTGCTTTTGTGGTTTTAAGGTTTATAGCGCACAAAAAGTGAGTCTACTATAGTCTGTGTTTGATATCCCCGACAGATTGACTACATACAGTAAAACTTGTTTTATGTGAACACTTCTCAAGACCATCTAAGTGTTAACTTTTTCACAAAAGGGTCTGAAAACATGATTGAGACATTTGATCAAAAATGTTCTCATATTTCATGGTGTCCAGTTACCGAGAGGAGAACACATATATAAGTTTAGCTGTTCTTGTAAATTAATGATGAATCCATGATTATTTTAGAATTTATTTTAAAAATTAATTCTTGAATTTCTTGTGTCCTGGGAGTGTGGGTGTGTTCAAGCATTGGAGGTGTGTCGCGATATCATGAAGGGAATAATCCAAGATTATTTGCACATAACTGAGTTTGTATTTGCTTTTGGCTGAACCGATATATGCAATGTAAGCATGTATGGTTGCACAAGAATTATCTCAATGGTTCATCTAAACATACATTAATGCTTGGCTTGTTGGCTGTGTATATATTTGTAAAACTACAATGTAACGTAAAATATGTATTTCTGCTATCAACTTTTGTCCTGCTCATTTTGGAATAATTGATATTTCGAAAAACATGTTTTATGCTATGTTATTTTATTTACCATTTTTACAGGATATGACTATGCCTAAATGTCATAATGTACTATTAAATGCAAATGCATAGTTAGTATTTTATGAATAGTAGAATCACCTAGACATCCAGCTGACACCTTAATATCTAGCTGATGAAATAAAAATCATGTTTTATTGGTTTGTTTTTGTAAACAGAGATGTATTGATGACTTTTCTGTGTTAAAAGCACATTCAGGACCAGACATTTATAGACCTTGGGAAAAATAGTCATTGTTCTCATGCCTGTTTAACAAATTTTGAAGAAATATCTTATTTTCTAATATGTTTGTACAATTTAAAAGTGCTAGCTTCATGCTTATTTACTTTATTCCTTGCTGATTTTTCCCTTTGCTACTTAACTTAATTTTAGAGTTGAAGATGTGACTGGTATGACAACAGTCTGTGTCAAGTCAACTCAATGTAGCAAATAGATGTAAGATATTTTTAAAGAAAATGCATTATTAGCCATTTCTTCAAATGACCAATAAAAATATACACTGTACAGTGAACATGTATTGAATATGGGCACCAATATTAAGTGAAGCATTTGACATTTACACACTTTAAGGGACATTGTAATGAAATGGCTATTGATTACTTAAAGGATGAACACTGTAATGAAATGACTATTGATAACTTAAAGGAATACTGTAATGAAATGGCTATTGATTACTTAAAGGAATACTGTACTAAAATGGCTATTGATTACTTAAATGAATACTGTAATAATATGGCTATTGATTACTTAAAGGAATACTGTAATAAAATGGCTATTGATTACTTAAAGGAATACTGTAATCAAATGGCTATTGATTACTTAAAGGAATATTGTAATCAAATGGCTATTGATTACTTAAAGGAATATTGTTGTAATGAAATGGCTATTGATTACTAAAAGGAATACTGTAATGAAATGGCTATTGATTACTTAAAGGAATACTGTAATGAAATGGCTATTGATTACTTAAAGGAATACTGTAATGAAATGGCTATTGATTACTTAAAGGAATACTGTAATGAAATGGCTATTGATTACTTAAAGGAATACTGTAATGAAATGGCTATTGATTACTTAAAGGAATACTGTAATGAAATGGCTATTGATTACTTAAAGGAATACTGTAATGAAATGGCTATTGATGATGAATGTAAATAAAGGCTGTAATTTTCTCTAAAATCATAGGTGATTTATATTCAATTTAATTATTTAAAATCTTAGAGCAAAATCCTGGTTTGGATTTTGGTCTTAGATGAATGTAGATGTATTACATGTTAATGACAAAATAATATAGTTTATACTGTATTACTGATGATTATCATTTGAGTACTGAACTCTTATTGGTCTGGACCATTTTGTTATGTTTTAATGTCACTAGTACTAATATTATTACCATTTTTGTGAACAGTGATTGGCATTATCTTTAAATCATGACATTTTATGTTTAATGCCTTGTTTGATAACATGGGTTTAGGATGAGTTGTTTTACTGGAAAAGTTCAAAATGGCATGATGATATCTTTAGACTGATGAGAGTTCACCAAGCGGTTTGCTAATAAAATCCAAATGTATTGCACCAAAATGCATTTCAATGGGTACAATGCTTTTTGGTATTATGAGCTTAAATGTTAATGTTACTTTCTATAAGCCTGGAATATTGAATGAACCAATTTCTCATATACTTTTATAACTGTTTGTAGGTCCTCTTCCCAAGTGTGATAGGTTGTTCGTAAATTTTCACCTTACAATGGCACTTTGAACGTCTAGGATTGTTTGTTCTGTTATCCTAAAAAACATGATCATGTGGACTTAGTTTGACATTTTTATGAGATAGTTTATGTGTGAAGGCAATTTCTAGATAACCTCTTTGAATTTATGTGCTGTTGAGTTTTTTATGCATCTCATCAAAATTTGTACAAGTAAAATGTTTGTTCATTGTTTTATGTTAAGATTTTCAAGAAATAGACATTTATGGAAAATATCCAAAAATTAATATAAATGGATTCAGTCAGATGATTACAACTAATGCACTTTAAAAGTGTACATTGATATGTGCTGAGAACCTGTTGTTGTAAACTTGTTATTATAGAAATTGAAGCTTATGAAATTATTTTTCCCAAAATACAAGTGAATGTCTAGTTCTATGGTCATGATTAATAAATATACAATAATGATCAATGAATTGTAATGCATTACATGTGTTTGTATAAAATAATGTATGTAGAAATGGTTAGTATTTTGGGCCTGGGAATAAAGTTCAGTAATAATATACAACATATTAATAAATTTCTGTTCATGGAGAGTTTAGTTTATAATGACAAAAAATTTCAACGAAGGCTAGTTGAACTTAAAGATCCTAGAGGGGGTAACTCAGGATCAACATGGGTTTCATTTTCTAAAGAAATAATGAGACTGAATCACAAAAAAACATATTTTTGTATTCATGCGGACTTAAAAATCAGGTGAGCATTTTATTATCTCCCTTATTCCAGGTTCGTATCCTGTTAGGGTATGTGCCTGGGAGTTCTGCAGAAATCATTGTGCAGCCTACTTATAAAGCATTGAGATGCTGTCTAAATGTCAATGGCTGTAGGAAAACAAAGTTTATCCTTTAGTATTCTTTATTGGAAATTTAAAAGCATGAATATCATGTGTTTTAATCTGTTCTGCCACAGTGCATTATAAAGATGGTTTAGTTTATCCATGAGTCATTTTAAGTCCAATAAAGAATGATACTATCACTTCTTTATAAAAAGGACATTAATGGCATTGCTCAGTTTATTATCCCACCGGACGAAGTTCAAGGGGGATATCGAGAAGCCGTCCGTCTGTTCGTTCATCCGTGTGTCCAGGTGATAACTCCAATACCGGTTGACGGATTTGGTTTAAATTTTATAGGCTTATGCCTTATGAGTGTAGGACCTCTGCTCGAGAAGGAATTTTCAATATGGCCGCTCATTTCAAAATGGCCACCATTTTTCGTAAAAAATGTAATCGTTGATAACTCAAATACAAGTTGACGGATTTGGTTCAAATTTTATATGCTGATGCCTAGGGACAAAGGAGTTTCGCACAAAAAGAGATTTTCAAGATGGCTGCTTAATTTCAAAATGGCGGCCATTTTTCGTAAAAATATGTAATCTTTGATAACTCAAATACCAGTGAATGGATTTGGTTCAAATTTTATATGATGATGCTTAGGGACACAGTAGCTATGTTCGACAAAAATTTTTCAAGATGGCCGCTTAATTTCAGAATGGCAGCAATTTTTCGTAAAAAACGTAATCTTTGATAACTCAAATACCAGTGAACAGATTTGGTTGAAATTTTATATGATTATGCCTAGGGACACAGTAGCTCTGTTCAAGAAATAATTTTCAAGATGGCAGCTGAATTTCAAGATGGCGGCCAATTTTCGTAAAAAACTTAATCTTTGATAACTCATATACCAGTGAACGGATTTGGTTCAAATTTTATATGATGATGCCTAGGGACACAGTTGCTATGTTCGACAAAGAATTTTCAAGATGGCCGCTTTATTTCAAAATGACGGCAATTTTTCGTTAAAAAACATAATCTTTGATAACTCAAATACCAGTGAACGGATTTGGTTCAAATTTTATATGATGATGGCTAGGGACACAGTTGCTTTGTTCAAAAATAAATTTTCAAGATGGCCACTGAATTTCAAAATGGTGGCCATTTTTCCTAAAAAGAAACATAAAACTCTAATACCAGCGAACAGATTTGTTTTAAATTTTATATGATAATGCCTAGGGACACAGTAGCTCTGTTCGAGGAAGAATTTTCAAAATGGCAGCTGAATTTCAAAATGGTTTCCATTTTTCTTAAAAGAACGTAATCTTTGATTACTGAAATACCAATGGACGGATTGGGTTCAAATTTTATAAGCTGATGCCAAGACACAAAGGAGCTTTGCTTAAGAAGACATTTCCAAGGTGGCACCTGATTTCAAAATGGCCACCATTTTTGGTAAAAAAACGTAATATTTGATAACTCAACTACCAGTGGATGGATTTTGTTCAGATTTTATATTTAAAACATTTTTTGTTCGGTGGGATTTGCTACTCCTTGGAGTTGCTGTTTTCTAGTTATGAAAACATATTGCACTGTGAAATAATGTTTCTGCTCAGGTGACCGTGAAATACTCAAATCTGATTGGCTGAGACACACTTGGCTTATTGACCTCCTCCATTCATAAAATTAAATTACACAACTGTTGCCATGACATTAAACTCTTCTTCATATTTAATGCAGTGCTGTGGACCCTGTGATTGACCATGATGAGAACCATGGACCATGGGTGTGATCGCAAAAAAGAAAAAAGCAACTTTGTA